TAGGACTTGAAGGCTGGCCTTCAGCAACAGTAGCAGAATTAGCAGCAATATGAACAGCAATCTTAGCAGTACCAGAAAGAAAGAGCATAGAGGTTTTCACAGATAGCATAGCAGCATTAAGGAACATTAATAGAGCACTTCAAAATGCAGAAAAGGAAAGAATTCTGAAAAAAAAAAATGCAATGTGAATAATGAACATTGTAAATTTAATCAAAAGCAAGAACATCAGAATAGAAAATAATCAAAGTTAAAAGTTATTATAAAAATAAGTGGAATGACAGAGCAGACTTTCTTACAAAAAAAAAGCAAAATGTCAAAATAAAATATATGCAGATAAAGTCAAATGTGATGGAATAGAGTACTATTTGGAATGGAAAAACAAGAAAATTAACATACTGGTAAAACTTCTGTGTAAAATAGTAGCAAATGCCAGAATATAAGCTAGTTAGAAAGAGACAAATCCAATATAAACATTAGAACCAAAAACAGAAAATGCATTATATAATTGGTTAAGCTTTTGAAAAGAAATGAACAGAACAAAAAGAGTGCATTGTATATCAAGAAAACTCAGCACAAGGAAAGCTATAGCAATCAAGTGCATAATGGATAGCCTACCAACACTTGAGAAGCTAAACAGAAGAAGACCAGAAATATATATAACAGCAGAATGTCAAGTATGCCAAGTTGAAAAAAAAGAGACTTAGGCATACTTAGCAAGTTGTTGTGAACAAAAGAGTTTATGGAAGCAAATTCAGAAAGTTGCAACAGTAACAGCATGAAATGGACTTAAGAAAAAGAAAAAAAACAGAATTCTATTACAAGTTCTTTATAAAACATTATTTGAAGAAACAGAAACAGAAGAAATTACAAACAGAGAAGTGCTAATAAAGAAACTCACAATATTAAAAGTAGAAAATAGATTGGAGCAACTTCTAAGCAAACAAACAATACAGAAGTGCATAGATATAACTACAAGAACAGTATAAAATATCTTCTATGATCAAGTATGAAGAGTGTGATATAAAAAAATACAAGCATGGGAGAAGGAAATCAATATAATGAATAAAATGAAAAAAGGTGCTCATGCAAGGAAAGAAATAAAGAAGAGAATAAAAAAAGATAAACAAGCAAAAGAAGAAGAAAAAGAAAAGAAAGCAGAAAAAGCAGACCAAGTAAAGAAAGAAGCTTTAAAGACAATAAATATGCTTATTACGAGAGGAAGAAGACCCTTTTGGTATGGCTTTAAGTAGTTAAATGAGCAGTCTATTCTTAACTAGAATAGTGTGACAGATTGCACTTAAATACTGCTAGAGTGGCCGAGTGATACTAGACTTGAATATTGGAAAATTCTATGTAATTGTATAAGTATATAGTTTCAAGAATCTTAATAAAGTACTAGCATAACTGCTTAAGATTAAAAAAAAAAAAATTTTTATTTGTTAATACAAGTCAATAAAATATTGTAAATCAGAAAACAGAAAAGAAAATATCTAAGCCAAAATAAATCTCTTACATAATGTAATTATTTAAAACTGAATTATGTTTTTTTAAGATCAATCTTAAAAAAACTTTGACTAGTTAACTGGACCAACCTTTTTGCTAGTATAGTTTTGCTAATCAAACTCAGTTAATATATCTATATTAAAAAGACAAAAAACCATCAAGTAGTCTCTTTTCTAATCTGATAATGTTAAATTATTTAATTTTTATTCAAGTTGTCTTTGAGAAAAATTTAACATATTAATTAATTGTCTGACTTATTTATTTTCTAAAAAAATATTAATAAATAAATTTTGCATAACTACTACTATAACAAAAAATCTAAACTATCTTATAATATTTTTTTGTCTTATAAAATTTTTGTAACTCATAATATCTTTAAAATAAACAATAATCTTTAATAAAAATAAACTGCCAAAAATTCTAACATCTCTAAATAACTTAATAACACTTTTTATTAAATGAAAAAATATCTTTAATAGAGTAGATTATTAAGTTAAACACATTAACATTATAATTAATTTTGATTTATTAATATACAATTTAATAACTGACTAAATTTACCTAAGTAAGAGATATAATCAATAACTATAATAAATCACAAATTACTTAAATGAATATATACTTTAATCAATAAATTATAAATATTTATAATAATTATATTATTGTATATTTATCAATAATATACTAATTTGTATATTATAATTACAATAGTAATAATCAATAGACTTTAATTTAGTATCCAATTGTACATTTTCAAGGCCTATTAATATAAATATAAAACTCTTTTAAAGCAACTTAAGCACCAGATTGACAGGGAGCAGGGTATATTTTCCGGTCATGTGTTTACGACCTAATCTATCCGGTCTATCCGGCTAATCCTCATAGACAGAAGTTCATTTGATTGGCTAATAAATTTAATTTAATTTTACATTATTTATACAGTTTAGAGTACTTTTTAAAAAAACGAAGACCAACCACAATAAAGTAAAAAAAAACATATAGAAGGTTTCATTAGAGCTGTAGGACTCTATAGTCAAAAATAAGATCTAATTCTCATCCGTTTAAAAAAATTAGCATAGTAATAAGTTGATTTTATCGGGTTTTGAGAAGTTATTACTATACTAACTTTTTTAAACGGACGAGAATTAGATCTTATTTTTGGCTATGAAGTCCTACAGCTCTAATGAAACCTTCTATACAGCTTTTTTTTATTTCACTATGATTAGTTTTCATTTTTTTAAAAAGTACTCTAAACTATATAGATAATGTAAAATTAAATTGAATTTATTAGCCAATCAAACGAACTTCTGCCTATGAGGCTAATCCATCATTATGTAACATATGTACTACGATAATGATTATGTAACATACTATAATTATGGTTATGTAACATACTATATACAACAAACGAACATAACAAATACTGAAATAACGACTTTAACAAGAAAGCTTTATCATACGATATTGCAATTTTACGACTCTATTAATAAAAGAAAATTTTACCAAATTATTTATGCATAGTACAATACAAAAGTTGTTCAACTAAGAAAAAAGTTTTTTTTACATGTATTATCGCTATTCTAAAGATAAAAATAAAGTCCATGGCTTTGATCCTCGCCAAGTTGAAACTCGCTGCCGTCTAGCTTTTGCTATTTCAATATCATTAATTATTGTAAAGACACGACCCAAATTATTCACAACAGCTTCCACATGTTGCAAATTATTATTAGTCAATTCTATATTTAAATGATTAACTAAAGAGTTTAATAAAGCTATTTTAGATTTCATTTCTTGACATCGCTCTGTATTTTTAGAACTTTCAGTATCTTCAACAAGATTCTGATTACATAATGTTAAACTAGGAAAATTTTCAGGTATGTCTTGAGTTTCACTTCCATCCCAGATTAAAAATGGATATTCTGTTCGTCGTTTAAAATTAGAATAAACTAACCGAATATCTTGTAATTCAGACTCTTTTACCTTTTCTGACGCTATATGAATTAAATGCTTGCAAATTAAAAAACGACTATAAAGAAAATAAGGGCAACTACATATCCAGCGTTTCAAATCAATATAATAGTGTTCTTCGATCCTTTCACTAATTGATTTTTTTAAAAGGTTTTTCCATTCACTCTTAAAATCTTCAAACCATGATGGAGACAATCTACCAAGCAAAATTTGCTGAAGACGGATAATTTGATCAGGTAATACCCGAGTACAAATAATCCAAATAAGATAATCAAGTCGCGGACGATTGAATTGATAAAGGTAATGGTGTTTTAAAACCTTCCAATGTGCTTCAATCATCATATTTGTTTTACCAAGAGGTATTGTTTCATGTGTAGAACGAGCCCAAAGACACCATCGAGAAGGTTTGTACCAGGCACACCACAAATATGACCAAAGTAATACAAGTTTGTGCTTATTACAAAATTCGTAAATTTCACGAACTGCCATTATTCTTATTTCAACAGAAGATAGAAATTGACCATTTGAACTAGTTGGGATCTTGGGATGCATGTGAAAATGTTTTTTTATAAGATCAATTACATTTTCTTGTAAATTCGATTGACAAATTATATAATATTCTTTATCTTCACGTTTTAAGTCAGGTTTAAAAGAAGGATCGATGAAAGAAAATTCCTTTACAACGTCTTCATATTGGTAATCAGTTTTTTTAATTTTTTTTTTACTTTTAAGTTTTTTTTTTAGAGCCTTTTCAATATGCCAGAGGCAAAGTTGTATATTACTTGCTGGCCATATATTTTTTGCAGCATTTATTTCAGCAAAATCTTTATCTGTATAAAAGAAGATTGGATGCAGGCCTTTATTATAGAGAGCATTAAAAAAACCCTGAAGAGCCTCAGTACGCAACCTTTCTTGAGTTCCGTCACCTGCTTTTGATGTATCTAAGATAAGATAGGCTAGAGAAAAACCAGCACCTTCAACATTTCCAACAAGCCCATAAAGTTCAAATCGCCCTTTGGCGGTTTTGTACGTGGCATCACAATGCACCTCAGTTACATTATATAATGAATCAAACAAAGGAGTAGTAAAACCAATTGCTGTAACATAACTAGTTTCTAATCGAAAACAAAGATCATATTCTTTTTTTTTTTGTCCTTCAATAAGAGCACATGCAGAAATAATATGATCTTCATTATGTTTATAGAATTTCTGCGTATAATATGACCACCAATATTGGATCTGTTTCGAAGTAACTTTAGATATGTCAAATTTTTTGCGAAGGTATGTATGTAAGTGTACAGGATCCATATTCAAATTTTCTAAAATCTTCTGTTTTATTTCTAGAGGTGTTGTGACATCAGCAGGCTTTTCATGTACTAATTCATGCTGTAATGTTACTTTAGCATTTGCAGCTGGAATATCTATATTTATAGTTAATTTATCATTACAACTAAACCGGTCTGTTCTTTTACGATTAGATTCTTTGTATTCACGCTCAATCTCATTACTTTGAGAACAAATAAAATATGCAGTTCCAACACCTTGGAAACGAGTTGAAAAGTTTGGTGCAGTTGGGGCACTATAATTATATTTTATATTTAGTATAAATTTCTGTATTTGAGAGTTATAAAATAAAAACCTATAAGCGAATATTAAAGTTTTCACTATAGTGAAAACTTTAATATTTACTTACAGGTTTTCACTTTACAACTCTCATATAAAATTTAAAGTTTATAATTTACTTACACCCATTTAAAATCATCACCTTCTTCAATTTCATCAACGATCAGCTTAGCCATTATTGTAACATCCGATCTAACAGAAGTAAGTGTATCTTCATCAAGTTTAACATAAAACGTAGAAAAAAGTATAGCATCTTCTAAACCATCAATTATATCAGAAATATAACTACTAATTTCATTAATAGGAATTATTTCAATTTGGTCTTCTTCACTATCAATATCATCAGCTAACTTTTTTTTTTCTGTTCTACTAGTTTTGCACTTAACACATGTTTTATATATTTTGTTCTTATATACGAATTCTTCAGGAGGAAGTTGACGATAACAAGAGCTACAGGTATCCATTAGAATGAATTGCAAAGTTTGATGTTTGAAATATTATTAAAGCTTTTATAAAAAGAATTTTAATATATTATATAATTATTTCGAAATTATTAAATTTGAATATTTATGAGGTAATTATTAAACAATTTCAGAAGATTTATTGTCTGATTAATTTATTCAATGTTTGGAATATTACTATTCTAAATTAGTCAAATTCGAATATTTATGAGGTAATCATTAAACAATTTTAAAAATTTATTGTCTGATTAATTTATTTATTTATTAAATAAATTAATAACTTCAAATATATGCTTGCGCAAGCTACTAGTTAGAGTACCAAAAAGTCAATTACTATTATCAAAACAAGATCAGTTATTAATAACTAACTACCTTCTAAAAATATTTAAGTTTATCGAATTACAAATTACAATTATACAACTTTATAATAACCTTGCCTAGTACCTTCAATTGGATAAATAGCAATTATACAATTGTTACTGGTGATGACTTTGCAAAGATTGTCATTTATTGTGGTTTGCAAAATTAGGTAAAATTTGCAGATCAAAAAAAAAAATCGATAATTTCTAATTTCCGATTTCTTTACTATTTTTTTTAGACTTTTGGGTTAGACTTACAGCAGGGACAGTGCCCGATCCAAAATGAATCCCTCTCGCCTGTGATCAATCGCAAGTTAAATTATTTATGTTGGATTCAATTGTGATGGATATAATCCCTCACCAGTTTTAATATGTGTAATATTGACGGTCTCTGCTGTTGATTAGACTTTAATTACATTATAGTCTAATTAAAAAGTCTAAAAAAAATTGTTTAAAAAATTAGAAATCAGAAACTATCTATCACGTGTGAAATTTACATGAAATCTATGTTACTGGAACTTACATGTATTGTAAATTTGTAAAATGTAATTACCAACCATAACTATCGATTTCTTTTTGTTTTGATCTGCAAATTTTACATAATTTTGCAAACTGAAATAATGAATTTCTTTAAGGAATTAAAAGGTGATGATGCTGATATGCGAGTACTATATAATACATTTCAAGCCTATATTATTTTTTATAATAATACAATAATTTATTTTATTAATTTTTATTAATTTATGCTTATAGTTCTATGATATTTTATTTAAACCATATTTATAGAATAATGCAAGTACTTTACGCTTAAACTTTAATAGCTATTGTCGTCTCGGAATTCGGCGAGTCTGTCGCTAAACTAAGCCAACTCTCGTGTAACCTACGGCGGCTAAGTCGAAACAGGCATGTTAGATTCGGCAAGTGGATTATCGTCCGTAGGTAAGTACTGGTCTCTTCTCTTGAGTCTTTCCTTCAACCTACACTTATTCTAATTCTTCCACTAACTCTTATCTTCTGTATTGTCTCAACCGGGATTTTACTACGTCGAATCGGGGTTGGAACTCTTCTTCTCTTTCGTTACGGTTCGCGTGGCACGTGACTATGGTGAGCGATCAATTACGGGTTTGGTTTATTGTTGGGGTGAACGGGGTCTGTTAATAGCGGGATTTAACGTTAGTTACTAGTGTTTATAGAACAGCACTTTCACTTGGTATTAGGGTCGGTTATTTAGCTTATTACTTCGTAATTGTAATCACTGGCTTTCTGCCTGGGCGAATTGCCCTTTATTTATAATTATCCGTCTTGTCTATTTACATTATGCCTTTGTCAGATATGTCGAATATATCGAATATATCTAATATATCGTATATATCTCATATATCACACTTTTGCGATATATGAGATATATCAGTTATATCAGATATATTTGATATATCTGACATATCTGACATTCGGGATCTTCTCACGTGATATCGGTCATGTTTCTTTTTGGATCTCACACTATTATACTATTTAAGTATAATTGTCAATTTTTTAATGGATTACTTCAACATTCACTTATTAATTTATTCAATTAAAAAAATTTAACTACTTTAATAGACTATAAGAATCAGTTGGTATCTAATCTAGTACATGTATATTTAATACTAACACATCGGTTTCTGTAACTTTGATAATTCGGGTTTTAAAACCCTGATTTATAAACAAAATGTTAGCTTATTTTAATTAGTCGATTTATTCGGAAATTTTTTCTTTTAAAACGTTACTGTTTATTATTTGATCGTACTGTCCTAGTGCAGCACTATATGCAGCGCAGCTACTCTTTATTTTAGTTTTCTAATCACGATAACGATAAGTTATACTGTTAAATATTACTCAAGTTTATTGATGCAATTTGATTGGTCAGTTTATTAGCGGACGAAATATGCATCGAAATCATGTGATTGAGGTCGGAAAAATCATGTGACCGGAAAATCTACCCTGCGCCCTGGCGTTGTTGTAGGCAGGCAGTAAAGCCTATTTATATGAAAGACTAGAATTATAATAATCAGACTCAATGTACAGGGAAGACTATAGTATCATTTGCAACTGTGCGAGCTAAGCTTAAAATGGCAAGTGATCTTGCAAAAACTTATTATTTATTCTTGAATTCCAACTCCTCTCCTAACTTCAAAGATTCTTCTTGTTACAATATCATCTTAACTTACCATAATCTTTCAACTTTATCATCTAATCAAACACCTTTAAATTTTTTTTAACATTTAATAAATAATCTATTTAATAAATCATTTAAAATCTCTATCAACACTACACTTACTAAAACACATATTTATAAAAACTTAAACAGTAGTATAATACCAAATTACATACTTCTTTTTAAATCACTTTATTATTAATACTATAACCTATCTATTAAATCATATTAACAATACTCAGTTCCTAATTTATTACCAGATTCTGATTTCTTTAATACTAATAATCTTAATATTACAAATTCTATCTCTTCTATATTATATTTATCTAACAATTCTTTAACTAATAAAATTCTCTCTCTTTAAACATCTCTTATACCTATAATTTCAATTTCTATAAAAATTGGTTCTTTAAATATTAACAATCTACTTCAATATTCAAAAAAAAGCTTACTCATAGATATTATTAATTAACATAATTTTGATATTTTTAGATTATTAGAAACACATCTTAGCTCTAAAGAAGGAAAATTCTTTAACCAAAATCTTCAAAATCATAACAGCTTTTGGAGTTCTTATGAAAATTCTCACCAAGCAGGTGTTAGAATTTTTATATATAAAAGAATCTCCAAATACATTGCTAGAACACATAATTATAATAGTCATATAATTGGCCTAGATCTACATTTTAAATATAATTTTATTTACATTTTTCAAATATACCTTCCTACTTCAGAGAAAAAACAATTACATACTAAAATTTAAGAACAAATTATTTTATTTTGCAATAATTCTAACTATCAAATCATAATACTTGGTAATTTCAACAGTGTTCCAAACCCTCACCAAGATAGAATCCTTCCAAAAAACACTTTTATCCCAAAATCTCAAATTCTCAAATACTTAATCAGTCATCAATTTAAAGATATATATTGATTTTTTTCTTTATAACATCAAACTTTACATTCTCTTACTTAACTTCTAATAGCAAAATTGACCAAATATAGACAAATTTAAATATATTTCAAATTAAATATATTGATATCCTTGAGGATATCTTATTTAAATCAGACTATAAAATAATTACTCTTGAAATTTCTATAATTATCAACAAAACCAAACCCTCTAAACAACATATAAGGAAAAACTTTCATTGAAAATCCTGCTCAAAGGAAAATATTGAAAATTACTTAAATCAAATATTACAAAGTCTTTGCCAATTATAAAATCAAATATCCAACATTTCAAATCAAAATAAACTTAACATAACTTTGAATAAAATACTTAAAACACTTACTAAAGCTGCTTAAAAAAACATCCCTTATAAAAACATTAAAACAATTCAGAAAATTAAAGATAACAAACAAACCTTCTAAATGATATGTACTCTTTTATAGATGTAAACAAATACAATATTTAAAAAACCATCTACAATCATTCAACTTTCATAATCTTCTTAAAGATTATACAACTAAATACTATGAAAAACTTAATAATGAACTACAAACTTCTAACAATCTACATTTTTTAATCAAATAAGAATTTAATCATATTAAATTAGCACTTAATATCTTCTACCAACAACAAACTCAAAAAGAAATTCAACAAAAAATTAAAGATCGCAATCAACTTTTTCAATCACAACCTAAAAAATTTTTTAAATACATTCTAAAAAAATACAATAGCATACATATTGATAAACTTCTAACAAATAACTCTTTATTAACAAAAGAAGATTATATTAAACAAGCTATTCATGTTCATTTTACTAAATACTTTAATAAAAAACCTCTTCAACAAATTCAACCTGCATCTGATTATTACTAACTATACCAACCTCATCCTAAACTTGAAATACACTATCAAGACTTATTCAACAATTTCTCTGATAATGAATAACAAAATACTATTCAAAATCTTCCTTTTCAAAAAGTTGCAAGTTCTCTCGAAACAAACTATGAACATATTAAATATATAGGCCATATTGGCCAAATTTCTTTTAAATTATTTATCAACAAATGTCTTCAACTTCAAAAAATTCCATCTAACTGGAAAACATCTAATATTTTTCTCATTTTAAAAAAATCTTCATGGAACTTTATACTTAATCAAGTTCACTTTATCTCAATTATAGAACTAATGAAAAAATACTTTACTAAAATCTTTACACAAAGACTAGATTATATTATTAATTCTAATAAACTCCTTTCAAATCTCAACTTTGCCACTACCAAAAACTCTTCAACACATATCCCTATTCAAATTCTTAACAATACTATTGAATACTATAAAAATTTCAACAAAGAGCTTGAATAATATTTCAAGACATGTCTAAAGCTTTTGATAAAATCAACATATTTTGATTACAAAACACTTGCAAAAGAATTGGTATTTCTCTCAAAGAAATCCAACTTATTACTGAACTATATACAGACTGTCAAGCTAGAATAAT